CTACATTCTAGTTCTAAAGTCCATAAAATATATTTTCTTACTTTTTATTTGGAAATCATCAATCTTGTATACGATGTATAAATTTACGAAATATTGTTCAAAATATCGTATACATACATAAATATTACTTTAGAAAATTACGAGTACACGATGAATTTTATGCAAAAAAAAAAAAATTAGATTTAAAATTTAAAATTAGAATTATTTCAACCAATTTAGAATTGATGAAACTATGTTCAATATTTTACTACCTAAGGTATTGTATGTCAATAAAACGATTATAACGAAAATATAGTAGAAAAACTGAAATAACAATTCTTCAACATGGTATCTTTTTATAAAGTCCCTGTTCACCCTAGGCTTTTATCTCATAAACAAGAATTTGTTTAGTATTCTTCAATAAAATCCAAAACATCAAAATTGTGTGTCAAAAATTATGTGTTATTAACAAATTACTTTATATTATAACTTATTTATTTAACATTTAATCACCGAATTTACCAAAAATTAAATAACAAGCAGAAATTTAAATAAATTATTAAATTATTAAAATATATGTAAACCATGTAACAAAATTGGTTTATCACGATAATAAAATAGACATTATACTCGTACTTTGTATACTATGCATTCACATGTGATGGTTACCATCACGACAACAGCTCTCAACTATCATATATGTATCATACATAATGATAGTGCGAGAATTTCTCTCATGGTAGTCCGATAGTTACCATTATTGTATTCACACGGCGATAGTTCTCAAAATTAATATTACGAGACTATCGCGAGAATAAGTATCATCATGTGGATCCAGCTTCAAAATAATTATATAAATTGACCGAAAGCTATAAAATTACTCATAATTTAGGTACAACCCAAAGTCTAACCATAGTTCCATTAGTTAATATGTAGGTCTAAGCTAGTGGTTCTCAACTTGGGTGACTTGTCATTCAAGGATGACATGGACGCAGTGTAGGGATGATACGAAATCTCCACTGGAAAAGGAAAAAAATAAAAAAAATAATTAATTTTAATAAAATCATATTATTACCATAACTGTAATGTAAATAGCATACCTTTAAGTTTTTATATATTAGGTACTTATGTGTAATACATATTATACATAATAATATACATAATACATATCATGTATATTATTTATATTTATTAAATAGATCCGATAAACACACGCAGTATTATTATTAACACGAAATTACTACATTATCGATTATTTAATCGACTTAACCGGGGTCGTTAGTCAGTTATTTTGCAGTCGCTAGATATGTAGTATTATTATAGTATATTATCAGGGCCGTCCCGAAGATGAAAATCAAGGGGGGGGGGGGTAAATAATATGAAAAATGCCGACCACAATTTTTTTACTCAATGTATTTAGTATGTATGTAGTCATATTTTTACTTTTTAACATGCATATATGTGTCAGTGTCGCACGTTCTTAAAATTTACAATTTAATTATATATATATTATAATATTTTATATTGTATAATAAGTAGTTATATAAATTTTATTCGTGTATACACTGTATTACGAATTATGTAATATTTGTTTTCCGTAAATAAAATTAGGTCCTTCTAGGCTGTAATGAAACAAGTGTGACTGCCGACTGATGTTTTCGTTGGGGGGGTGAAACTCCCCAAAGGCCTCCTTCGGGACGGCCCTGTATATTATAGTTCTACAACTCTAGAAGACAATATGAGACTCGGTCTTTTTACCATCAGCTCTCGACTTCCTTAATTTTTTTAAAAACCACCAGAGCTCAATTTCTCATCAGTTTTTTATACAAATCATCACCATTTTTTCTCTTTTTTTTTTTTAATTTGCAAATTTAAATTTTAAAAGTCAATGTTTATTGAACCCTGCAACTCATAAAGTGTAGGTGTACTTATTATTTTTCCGTGTACCTTATTATTTTTTATTTTTTTTTTTATTAATCGAAAAAGACACAAATACTTACATTATTATTGAGTAACATTCTCGATTATCTTTCTCCTTTAAGAAAAGCTTGTGTTAGAGAAAGAGGGTTATATATATATATGTGATACAATTATTATAATTATAGAATTTATAAGATACAGAGTATAAGTTCTAAGTACATATAAAGCTAAATATACAAATAGTTTAGAAATATTATCAAGAAAATGTAAATTATAAAGAAAGAAATATAAAATAAACATATTAGTCTAAGATACACAAATAAAACCTCATAGATTAATATTTATACAGCTTAGAAAATAAAATAAAATTACAACAACTCATTATTTAACTCAAGAAATAAATATTTATGTACCAAACCTTTAATATTAATCCTATCATCCCCAAGTATTTTTTTTTTTTTAAATTCAAAAGACATAGAATTAAAGAACATTGGTCCAAGATAATCTACAAAACATAAACCAAAAGATTTATTTGTATAATTAACAGTCAAATCAAATTTCCTTAATTCTCTTTTATTGCTTAACTCTTTATGATAATTATCTAAGATAAATTTCTTAACCAAGTACATAATAGCAATTTTTTTTATATAAAAGCTTTATTGGCAAAACACCAAGTTCTTTATAGTTGGATTTCGTAGATCCTTCTAGAGTGAATTTATTTAGGCAAATTCTGACCATATTATTTTTATTAACTACTAGTAAATTTAATATGTTATCTCGTTTAATATTGTTATTTCAAGAATTATTGTAAAATACACAGTTAAGATTATTTATTATTTTGATGTTAGGGTGACGCGGTATTTGATACTAGTGGCTGAAGGTGACATTAATTAAAAAAGGATGAGAGCCAGGCTAAGCTATGATCAAAGTGTATCAGTGGCGTATATAGGGGGGTGTCTAGTGGGCTACAGCTTCCCCTCGAAATGTTTCAAAAAATAGAAAAATTATTTTAAACGTTTGTTAAATTTTAATGGTACTTTATGCTTATTTAGAAATAATTTTATAAAAACAAAAATAGAAAAATTTTAACCTGGTTGCATTTATTTTATTCAATAGTATTTTAATAGTTTATTAAAATGTTTTAAGGTTCTCAATTTATGGTTCAATGCTTATTATTAAGAGTTAATTATATAATGAATAAATTATAATTGTATAATACGAGTACATTTTATTCATAGCATATTTTACTATAGAAATAGTCCAGTAGACAAATATATATATTAAATAGTCAAATACCACATCATATATCCTTTGTTCATAAATACAGGATTATACTTACTATAGGAAATACGTAAATAATCTGATCAGTTGAGACGGTTTTTATTGTCTTTGCCAAATAGTTTTGGGACATTCTGTAAATTAAATGTAGATAAATACCTACTGTGTCTTGTTAGTAATTCTTAGATAGCAGTGGCAATTTAACTCTGTCCATAGTAGCCCCTCCCGAAAATATTTTCTATATACGCCACTGAGGTGTATATATATATATATTATAGTTGAACAACACATTAAGTACACACCTTGACTAGGACGAGTAATAGGCATTTATAAATCAGTAAATCGCAATTTTTTCTACTTTTTTAACAATTACTGAATTATATACAATAGCTTAACAATTAGTTACGACAATTGTCCAAAATTAAATATAGTACAATATTATACATTCATAGCAGTGTTCGACTTGGCAAAATTAAAGAAGGGGGACTCTATTTACTTTAAAAAAAGAACGTCCCCAAAACTGGCTGAGCGTTATGGTTATAGCGTAATAATAGTAAGGGGACGCTAAAATTTCTGAAAATTAGTTGGGGTACTCCGTCCCCCTGCGTCCCCCCTCGAGTGATTCATAGTGTATGTACTTACGATAAGTGATGAGCGTAATCGAGACATCTCGATTATCAAAATAATAATTCGATTATATACCCGAGAGATTATTTCGAGTGATATCTCGTTTATTTTAAAAAAAATCAATTCTTGATCTCGAAATGTGTATCGAATGTAAACATATTTCGAATGATTTTCATGGAACGAAGGAGTGATGTGAAATATTATTTTTAATCTTCATAATCGAATAAGTAAATACTAGTTGTTCACTTTCAGTCTATGTATCTTTGTATTTACGACTCGTGCTACTCGTGGGACTGGTTGTTGGACAAATATTGATGGGTATACGGTTATTCTTAGTTATTTATATTTTAAAGTTTGACATAAATATATAGCTATAATTTTTGAATTACTCAACCATAAAACAACAATTTCTCAGAATGTTTATAAATAAAATTATATTATATTTATATTTATATATTATATTTAAATGGAACATTTCGAATGATTATTTCGAGATATCTCGATATTCGATTGTAAAAATGTCTTAAATACTAATATTTCGATTATTGAAATCATTCGATTATGCCCATCACTATTTACCATCCCTAGTAATGAGTGATATAATAACAAGATAGTATGTTATCATAACGAGGGTGAGAAATTTATTTAAAGCCAACGTAAGAGATTTATGTGGGAAGAAAATATAAGAGGAATTAATTATTGAACTATTTGATAATTTGAGGTATAGAAATAGTAAATCACTTTATTAGTATAGAATACATTAGTTACATAATATGTAATAAGTGACAAAAGTATGAACAATGGGTTGTGAAAAGCGCGATTAAAATCATGATTCTAAAAATCGTGGTGACAAGAAAGGAACAGGTCCTACAATCTTTAGTGTGTCGACGCTTGGCCTGATAATAGCTTCCTGGATATTTGTCAATGATGTTATAAACGAGGTCTATCTGGAGGTATGGGTGTTACGAAAAGTATTTTACTTATTTTTTCATATTTACCATACTGCTATAATAATAGGTAGAAAACGGATTATTAAAACGGACGTAGTATCCATGGTGTCAACGATAGTTAATAATAATTCAAATGTATGGTACCACAAAATATTACGGTTTGTCACCAGAACAGTGAACTATTTTGAGAACCAATTGTGTAGAATGACGTCAAAAGGGCTAGTAGCGTTATCTTTTAATGTCCAATCAAACGCGGATATCACATCACACGCGCACTTACACATCCACATACACACAGACGCGTGCTCTCACACGTACGAACACTGACGCGAAAATTGGCTTTTGACGAGCTTACTTGTGTGCTGCAAGCTTTCCGTTTTATTGTTTTTGCAAGTAAGTGTATCTGCTGGAATTCAACGATTCCATTACAATTCTTATTCTGATGTTTTTTCTCTCTCTCTACAGTATTCATTGACACAGGGTGCTGTAGATACTATGTCGTCCGACAATGCTGTCGGCGGTGGCCAGTCAAACCCAGAAATGGTCAGGGGACAAATATTTGATGTGGGTCCTAGGTACACAAACTTGTCCTATATTGGTGAAGGAGCTTATGGAATGGTTGTGTAAGTATTTCATTGGTATCACTTGATTACCCACTTGACCCATCTTTCATAGCTCTGTGACAGGCGCCTATTCTGTTTTTTTTTATTTGCTTACTTTTGATAGTGAGAATTATGGTCTGTTTATGTTTTATTGTATATTTTTGAATTTTAGTATAAAATTTATCATTATGATTTAAATCCTTTCCAAATACCTATATCATAAATGTTTAATTATAATATTTTGAAGTGTACTAATAATTAACCATATAAATGTTTTGAATAAATTTTTTTTTTTAATGAAAGTTATTTACTATTATGTACAGTTTACCATAAATGATGGATAAAGTATTTGACTGCAAAATTATTAATCTTAGTTCATATAATGGGCCGATTTTAAAATATTTATACATAAACACTGGTTTAATAGAAATAACATATTGGGAAAACTACTTTCAAGTTGTTACCTTTCATGTTTTCAATACTCAACAAGGTTTTTGTTTTATATTTAAAGTGTTCATAATAATTAGGTATATACCCATTATACATATATTTACGTAAAAAAAAAAAATGGTTATTTATCACAAAAATTATATTAAATATAATCATTTTAAAACAAGTAGCATATTTTAATGTTTGAAAATTTACTATATAAATTTATACAACAATTTTCGTTATACTTTTACTTTATCTGTAAAATCTCAAGATATTTTGATGAGTAATCGATGACTCAAGAGTTAATAGGATACTTTTTGTAGTATGAGGGAAAGTTTAGATGTAGAAATGATTGCATTAGTTGATTTTTGCAAAATCTTCATTTATGGTGCTTTATATGCTTTTATTTACAGCTATATTTTCATATTGCTAAGTTATTTAGGTGAAAAAAAACTTTAGATGATTTTAACTCATTGTCATATGAGAAAAAAATTATTGGAGATAAAATAGAAAATGATCTCAAATTATTTGAATAGTGTTGATTAAAAAAAATGTTTACACTTTAAGAGACTACAGTCTACATATTGCCAGTTTTGATTGTTTATTTTCTTTTTTTGAAACAATATTAATGAAAATTATTTTTAAAAATAGTTATATGATAGAATATACAATTAAAGCTTATTATCTTAGTAATTATTTAATGATTTGAGTTTTTTTTTTTAAAAATTAAAGTGTGTGGCATTTTGAAAATCAATTTTTTAATTTTTTTTTGTATGTCTGCATTCATTTGATAATATTTAATTTTTGTAACCTTTATTCATATTTGGTATGAAGATGATTCCCTGAAAGTCAATTATTTAATGTTTTAGTTACATAGTATACTTATACCATTCAAACTTATACAATTTCATCAAGATATTAAAGTGCAAAATGAATTCCTTTTTCATTTTTATGGATTATTTTCTTTTTTAATTAATACCCATTATTTTCTTTTTGATTTTCAATCAATTTATGCTTTTGTATGTTTATAATATATTAATTTTTTTTTAAATGTCCTGTATGAACACTGTTAATTTAGACTCCATACATGTTTTTTAATTTATCTATATTTACATTTTTAACATAATTCAGTTCAAATGATAATATTTTTATTTTTTAAAAATTAATTAAAAAAAAAAAAAAAACATCAGCTGAAAAATATTTACACATAATACTATTATATTGTAGGTAGAATCAAGAGTGTATCCAGGTTTTTAAAATTCGGTTAATATTAGAAATTAAAATGAGATACCATTAAAAATGGTTTTCATTATACACTTACCTAATGCAACATGAATTATAACAACTGTTTTATGTAGGATTTTATATTTGGGTCTATTTATTAAACAATAAAATCAAGATGTGCCCAAGTAGACAAAATATAATAATTGAGTGAAGTAAATGTAGGACTTTTAACCTAGAAATCGATGATAAATTGTCAGTTTATAAATTATTCTGATATAAGTAAAATAATGTTTAAAAAAATATTAAAACATAAAAATATATATGTAAAAATAACTTAAAATCTTAAAATTTAAAATACGAATTATAGTTAGGTAAGACTTTTTAAAACCATGTATTAGGTTAGGTTGTGTACAGATACTTTTTTGGAAATATTTTAAGATAATATTTATTTTTTAAATTTATAATATTTAAAATACTATTTTAAATGTTATTAAAATATATTTTTCCTGATATATGTAAGTCTTATTTTTTTTTTTAATTTCTTAAATGACAACAAAATTTTTTCTTTAAATGTTATTTTTTCATTTTAAATAAAATGTTTAAACTTAATTGAATCAACATTAATTGTTTAAGAAGCATTTCATATAAAAATATAAAATGTATATTTTTTATTTTACTCTATTATTTTCATAAGATGTTGAAGTATCAGAAATAAGAGAAAAAGTGAATAACAAGTTTCATGTTTCTACTCCAGTAAAAAATAATATAATTTTTCAAAAAAGACAGTTACAAATGAACATTTTGTAATTGTTTGTTGTTTTTGTTTAATGATTGATAGAGGTATCAAGATTTATTTTCATAACTGTTGTGAATTTTTTATTGAGTGCCTCAAACTGTTTTAATATGTGTACATAATTTACATTTCAGGTCGGCTTTTGACAATGAAACCAACTGTAAAGTAGCCATAAAAAAAATTTCGCCATTTGAACATCAAACATATTGTCAAAGAACTTTGCGAGAAATAAAAATATTAACTAGATTTAAACACGAAAATGTTAGTAATATTAAATGTATTTATTAAGCCATCTATTCAAATATATTTACTAATTATATTATATTTTGTATATTTTTTATTAGATAATTGATATAAGAAATATATTACGAGCAGAGACTATTGAACAAATGAAAGATGTATATATTGTTCAATGTTTGATGGAGACTGATTTGTATAAACTATTAAAAACTCAGGTTAATTTAATTTTAAATTTAAATAACATTGTTACACATTAGCAGTATTTCTACATATTTTGATTATAGTTATTATTATTATTATTATTGGGATTATTATTTTTATTTACATAAATATCATTATTTTACACTTGTTATATTTATTACAGAGACTGAGCAATGATCACATTTGTTATTTCCTCTATCAAATTCTACGAGGTCTAAAATATATACATTCAGCAAATGTACTTCATCGTGATCTCAAACCTAGTAATTTGCTTCTTAACACAACGTGTGATCTCAAAGTAAATAATTCTTAATTTATTTTTAATTATATTAATTTATACTCTAGTATTATATATTGTGGAAATATATATATATATACTTATTTAAATATATATCATGTATAATATTAACTATATAAATAAATAGTTTATATAATTTATATATTCATTTACGAGTATTAAACATTTATTAATTTTACTTTTTTTTTATTATTATTATATTATACATAATATTTGTAACATTTTATTTTAGATTTGTGATTTTGGTCTTGCTAGAGTTGCAGATCCTGATCATGATCACACAGGATTTCTTACTGAATATGTAGCCACAAGGTGGTATCGTGCTCCTGAAATTATGTTGAATTCAAAAGTATAAATATAATATATTAGAAGTGTCAAAAAATCAATAAAATTATAAATTATTTTTAGGGATACACAAAATCAATTGATATGTGGTCAGTTGGTTGTATTTTAGCTGAAATGTTATCTAACAGACCAATATTTCCTGGTAAACATTACCTAGATCAATTAAACCATATATTGGGAATACTTGGTTCTCCAACTGCAGTAGATTTGTTGTGTATTATTAATGATAAAGTAAATATTATATATATATATATACATTTTTATGTAATTTCCACTCTATATATTCTATTTTTTTTTTTCAGGCTCGGAGTTATTTACAATCCTTGCCTTACAAACCAAAAATAGCGTTTTCAAAACTTTATCCTTCAGCTGATCCTAAAGCATTGGATTTATTAGATAAAATGCTTACATTTAATCCTCATAATAGAATCACAGTTGAAGAGGCTTTAGCTCATCCGTATCTTGAACAGTATTATGACCCTGCTGATGAGGTATGACTATATACAATATTTTTAATTTTTATTGATTTTTTTCTATGTAAAATATTGTTTTAAGTATTACATAATTGATAAATATACAAAAAATATTATGTTCATATAATTTTTTAATTTTTCAGCCTGTTGCAGAAGAACCATTCAGATTCGTTACAGAGTTAGATGACCTTCCCAGAGAAACATTAAAACAAATGATTTTTGCTGAAACTGTGAATTTCAAACAAAATGTGTAAGCAAAATATGGATACTTCAGGCTTATGATTTCCTTACATTATTTGGACTCTAATTCTTCTAAATATTTGAACATAATATTGCATTTTGATAATTGATACATTTCTTGCTTCTTTATTATTTTTTATTTACTATATGTCTATATAATAATCCTACCCTTAAGTCTATAATATTCATATTAGTATTAAGTATGACTTTTAAATTAGTTAAATTATATGTATTACTATTATTATAAATCGAGTATTTAATTTATATTATTTGATTTTATTAAATTTGTTGTTGCATAATTAGATATTAGTCCTATAAAGTATTTACCCTTTAGCATAGTATTTTCCTTTTGAATCACAACTTTAAATATTGTTAGTTTATTATCATTTAATGTTACTAATATGATAATTTAAAGGCAATCACTACATTATGATCTAAAATATTTAGTTAGAATTAAATTAGTGTAAATTTCTTATCCCCATCCGGCCATTTCCCAAATTCCCTGTCGTTTGTGATAATATTCATGGTACTTATACAATATATTTATTTATATATTTTATTAGATGTTGTTTAGAAATAAAGTTGATGTAAACATTGTTGGATGTAAAATTATGTTATTAGTTGAATTAAGGAAGGTAGGTGTTTATAAAAAAGTATATTGACTACATACATTTTAATATTTGAAATTTATTATTAACTTTAAATATTTCTTGAAAAAAAATTGTGCTATTAATTTACCATAAGTGACCTATTTTGAAAATAAAGTCGGTTAAACATTTAATGAAGTTCAATTGAGTGATTACGTTCCTTTATAAGTGACTTGTAAATATTTTTTTCTTAATATATATTTATTTAATATTTTTATTCAATATATCTTCCATGCTTTAAACTTGTTCATTATATTAATAATCAAAGTATTTGAAAGTTTTTTCATTAGTTTTGCTCATTATAAACAATTTTGTTAATTGATTATTATTACGTATATGTTTTTTTCTAAGAAATATACCTATAAAACAATAAAAAATTTCAAATTATAAATGATACCTTATGTATTTTATCATTAATTTGTTATTAAAATTATTACTGTTGTATTATAGTATAATTATTCATTATACTAAAATTGCTAAAAATATTCGGTCAACACATAAAAAATAAAAATAATGATATTGGCTTATAATATATTTAGTAACCAAATTGTATTTTGATGATTCGTACTGATTATTTTAATGTGTTCTCAGAGGTCTATCATTTTTTATATTTAATATTAATATTAATTAAACAAATTATGTAGATTACTTTTATTATATATCTTAGAGGTTACCATTGGTATTTTCTTTTATTTTTAACTTAATGTACACAAAAAAAAAAAAAACTGATATAAATGGCAAGTTTTTACTTCTTATTGTGATTTTAAAATATTCTTATTTTATCTATGTTTTTTAATATTTTAGGGTACATAATTTGTGATTGAAATAAGTTTAACATTTTCAGTTTAAAGTATTATAAGTACAAACTGATCAAATTTGGTTAAATATTGAAGTACAAAGATGAATTGATAAAAACAAGTGTTTAACTTTCATACTATGTTTGTAGTTTTTATTCATGTAAATTTTGTTGGCATAAACACTAAAATAATAAAAATATTTTTGTTTATTAATTTATTTTAACTAAAATAGATTCTTAAGTATTTTACATTGGATAAGATGTTGAAATAATATAAAAATTAGACAACTTATTTATTTTACTTGACATTTATGCCATGTAATTTCAAGTCAAAAATAATACATATTCAGTGAAAACTGTTCAAGACCCTTTATAATAATGCAGAGGCCTAATTTAGGTGTATATTTGATTTGGTCAAGTCATAAATTATAATTAGTATAATAGACTTAGTTTTGGATGAGCATTAAACGTTTCTAAAACAGAATATATCTTCGATTGTCTGTCTTTCCATCTTGGATAGTTTTCACTGTACGTATTTTTATAACTTATATTTTTTAATCTAGTATATTTTATTAAAAAAAAAAAATTTGTAATTTTTAACTATTTCATCTATATTTATTAAATGTTATTTACAATTTTTCTTAAGTACATTGAAACAAATTCAATATTATTTGAAAATGATTAGTCAAATATTTCTCTTATTTTTTACTACATAAAATGTTATTAGATGTTTTAGTAATAAAAAATAGATTAATAAGTGACTGTCATTTTTGATTTATATTATTAATTTGTGTTTGTATGTATGTGTGCAAATATTTTACTATTTACGGGCAAAAGACCAACCAGTTTTGTCACCCAATATTATTTATCATTATAATTAACATTGGGTAACAAAAATTAAAAAAAAAAATAATTAAACATAAGTTTTTAGAATTGTATTTAAATCTTATTAAATTTATTAAATATTTATCAGTGTACTCTTTTGTTTTAACTACATATATTATATAAAATCATTGTACTGTATTTATTATGAATATGTAAATTATTGAAATAATATTGCATATACATTATTTATAATAACCATTATTCCATTAATTTTATTTATTGTTCGCTTTGTCAAACTTTATTGTTGTTATATATTAAATACTTGTTGAGTAAAAGTATTGAAAAGTAAAATATGTAATATATTTTTATCGTTGAACAGTATTGGTGGCAATAATATTATACCTAAATGACTATTTATATATTTATATTATTCTATCAATGAAACTGATAATACAAGATTCATACAATTGAATTGGTGTTGTACAAAATTAAGAAATGAGTCACCAATAATTGTAGTTATTTGAAATGTTGAGTATGGATATGTATAACAATGTGAAGTTTAGTTGTTGTGAATAGGTATGTGTAACATACATATTTTTTTACCCATATATTTTTCTAGTCAAAATGATACAACAAAACAAATTTTTTTTCTTCGATTTATTAATTATTAACAAAATTAAGTATTGTTATGGTTTTAAGGAACAAATAAATAATATTAAATAATTACACTTATTGATTAGCATATAACTCATTTTTATTATAAACAACTTATATATATATATATAAGATAAGTGTTTACGTAAAGAAAACAGCTGATAATAATTGTTTCATTGAAATAATGAACTATGAAAAATAATTTTGAGTTAGTGCTGATATTGCTGTGTTAATATATTATATATTTTATTAGTGTAGTTATTTATCCTGATACACCACACACAGCTCCTGTAATTCGCCGTCGTCACATGTGACCGTCCACTATACAGTATTACAGTGTATACACATCGCATGTACACATACTAGTTCAATATAATAGAAAAAGTAATTCATTAATATATTAAAATTGACCAGTTATTTTTACTACTTTTTGAAAATGGTATCTTTTAAGGTAGACTTGAATTAGAAAATATCGAACCGTACAGCTAAACAGCTCACGTAATCGTTAACGTACGAAAAATAAATTAAAAATTATAATGAAAATAACAAGATGTTCAACGAGGGGACGGGTAAACGTAACGCGTGCTCTGTCGACAGCTCTCGAAAACAAAGCCCCTACAGGGCTTCGGAACGTTCCGGGGTGTCTATACTCGACGTAATAACTAGTGATGGGAACAATCGAGAAAAAATAATCGAGTAACTCGATTATTTGAATGTATCGAGTAACTCGATTATTATAAAAATAATCGAATGAAAAATTAGTAATAACTAATTAATAATTACTATTCTTATATTTACTAGTGATGGGAACAATCGAGAGAAAATAATCGAATGAAAAAATTAGTAATTACTATTTTTATATTTACTAATTTATATTTCAATCAAAACAGAGTTTGCCATATGCACTATGACGAGTGGAGAATTTTATTATTTCGCGGCTCGCATCGTACTCGGTATATTCTACGAATATAAGTAAAAATAATTATCTATAGATTTTTTATACATTTTCTATACTCAAGGGCGTAGCTAAGATTTGAATCAGGGGGGGGGGGCAAAAACATGAAGTGATTAGTGTTAAACTCGTAATTCAAATAATCTACAGATAGACCATTGGATAACACATAAAACGTCAAAACGATTGCACGTGTAGATAAAGCTGGCAACACACTACGGTTTTATTTGTACGTGTACGGTGTACGGTGTAGTTCGCACATTATTAGTTCGTACACCGATGAACGACACACACTATCTATTTTGTATCTTTGTACGGTGTTCGAACAACACTAACCTTCGGTTTTGTTCATTTCAAACACCGAACACGGACAAAAAATCCAATTCCTCAGTTTTTATTCCGTGTCCGTGTACGGTGTTTTTCGTCCGTTTTATTGCCCACACACTATCGGTGTACGTTGTTCGAACTACACCGTTCACCGTACACGGACAAATAAAACCGTAGTGCGTGGCCAGCTTAACACTCAATCCCACTAAACTATTTTTATATTTATATCTTTTTTAATTTTAACTTACAAGTTTGGTATAAACAATTATAATTCAGTTTGAGGCTTAGGGGTGGGCAAGTGGCTCCCCTGTCTCACCCTCGCTACGCCCATGTCTATACTTCTTCTGTTTCTATACTATCTGGAATCGTTTAATAAATGCTTTCTATTATTATTTTATTTATATCTATTATGAATAATAATTTTAAATTTTGATCACATGGATTATTTGTTATTTCGGTATACTTTAATTTTATTTGTATGTTGTATGATACAACTTGTATTGTTTATTTTTTATCGTTAATTGTTCATTTTATACGTTAAAATCGTTATATATTAATATATATATATATATCGTTATATATTAATCGTATTTACTATGTATTGGCCTATAGTAAGTAGTATGTTATAAAAATTAAATAGTATAACTATCAATTTTCTCGAATAATTATAATAAATATTAAAGATACAACCTAGTTTTTTATAAGTTTAAAATGCGACCTGGCAGTAAGCAGCGTTCCATGGTGTGGGAGCATTGGTGTGGCTTCAGTTTTATGTTGAATCTATTAGTGAAATAACTTCAAAATGGCAAAAAAACTTGTGAAATTCGTAGAGATTATTTATTGTCACAGAATATCAACATAGCTGATATTCTTGACGAATGGCCTATTTTGAAACAGTCATTTGCTTACAATTTGGTAATATTTTATTTTATTGAATTAAAATTTTTTTCCAACTGTGTATACTAAGTAAAATGCACGTCCTATATCTAATAGTTTGGCTTTGTATCAAAATAATATATTACTAGTCTGCCATTTTGTTAAATGTTTTGTGGCTTAATACTTGTAGTTTATATTAATTTTAACATTAGATTGTTTTTATTTCAGATTGATATTGATTTTGATTATATATATATCCTACAAAAGGAAACTTACTGTTTGTGAAGTGGGATAAATTTATTATTAATATTATTCCGTTAATGATCACTAACATAAAAGATGGAAACAGTAAATTATTACTCAAGCGTTTAATAGAAATTAAAGAAACAGATATTGGTACAATATTTAAAAGCTATAATTTTATTATATTAATATATTATTGGGACTAATCGAAATAGGCAACGGTTCTAACTTCATTTACGCTTATGCATCGCCCAACGGTCCACCCTGTGCCGTTTGCACAATGTCTACAGCGTCGAGCCCTACGTTTGGGTCAAGTAGAACGTCACCCTGTTCATCTCTGTTGAAGCACAACTGATTCTGTATCACGTTCAATAGGCTATCGGATCCGGACTCGATCGGCTCAACAGTCGCATTACCGGTGGCAGTGGGGGGCTCAACAGCTTTGGTCTTCTGGTCCGTCATATGCCAGAGCGTCCAAGTAGATTCACCATTGGTCAATACTGGAGTCATCTGGGACACCGGAAACTCTGCAGTTGCGGACATGACATATTCACAACTGTGGTGAAACCATGGCGCGCGGGACATAGTTCTGAACTGCAAACGACCAGACGAGCTGGAAGAATTCTGCCGGATCTCAGACCATTTGGAGAAACATAGTTTTGTCGAAAATGGAAACCTCGATCCTAAACATATTACACACATGCGTACAGTAGATAATTTTTGATACGGTTTGCTCAAAAGAGCGTTTAGGGAAGCGTTAAGTTCATAAATGGTGTTTAGTATTCGCTCTTTAATACCCTATTACAATGTATCTCTTAAACCGAATGTAATTTAAATGTGTAATCACTTTTGTAAAAATTGATGAGTATTGATTTTAAATTGTGGTTTTATATGGAAAAAATGTATTTTTAACAAAAGTAATATCGTGCAGTGCTTGACTTGGCAAAAAATGAAGAAGAGGGACTCTGTTTATTTTAAAGAAAATAGCATCCCCAAGACTTGTTAAGCGTTATATTTATAACGTAATAATGGTAGGGGGGCACTAAAATTTCTGAAAATTAGTTGGAGTACTCCGTGCCCCTGCGCCCCCCCCCCTAGAGTCAAGTATTGATTGTATGTAAAAAAAAGATATTCTAAGAGTCATAATCTTGTGGTCTGAACACGATAAATTCATAATTCTGCTTATTTACATAACGATTTCGTGCATAATAATATATACTACAAGTATACTAAATGCTCGTGGTTGTAACAATAACAATAGAATAGTAATAATTTCATACTTGATGACTCGAACGTCATGTGATTCAAAAGCATTATTGCTTTCGCTGCCAAATCGACGCTCTTCAATTCAATTAAGCCAGTCGAACATTTTGCTCCGGGCAGCTTTTTGGGTACTATATAAACAAAAACCAGAAAATTATTAACATATACGTATATAGGTTCTTGAAACGATATCGAAGCACTCTTCAATGTATGACTTACGGATGGTAATGGATTCTACCGCATCCGTGCGACCGAGAGCGTCGATTACCGACTTGTGAATCTTTGTGCCGCTTACGTCCAATGGTGCGTTGTAAAAATGCACAATCTATATGAAAAAAAAAAAAAGTTGAATCATCCTACCGTAATAACTTATTTCGTCGATTTATATCTCTGAATCCTATAGAAAACTGGTGTGGCCAGGGAAGGAATACTAATGTGATTCTTCAAATTCCAAAAACACCCTAAAAGAAAAAACCGACGAAATATATGTGTTCCCTGCCAGAAATTGATGAAGTATTGGGTTCAAAACACTCAAGATCATATCCAAATACTATACTATTAAATGGTAAAACTACCCCTCCTGTTCGTTTCGGCAAAGAAAGATTAATTCTATATAATACGTGTGCATTCGATTCAGTTGCTGTAATTATATCTATGGCTTACATAGATATATTAAAATATAAACATTTTATCGATGGCAGTAATAATGAATTTTTAAACTTTTCAATGCAATTAGCGCTTGAAAATTCATCCCGCAAAATATATGACACGAGAGTTTTATTACTTCAACAAATTTTTCATTAAGAATAAAGTGTTACAAATGTAAAATTAATTGATTTAAGGTATTGAATGCTCAAGAATATAATGCAAGAATAATAGAAGGAAAATTTGCAGTCCAACAAATATATTGATAATGAAGCATGATTTTTCAATTTTCAAAACGCTCTGAATCAATATTTATCAGAATTACACTATGCATGTGTTGAAGATAACTGCGATGGAATAAAAACATCTACAAGATTAATTGAAAATCATTTATTTATTAAAACTGATATGATACCTAGCTGATAGACATCAATTTTTATTAAATTATTTTCCGTTCAAGTTATGTGATCGCTCTTATAAGTAAGTTTAATACTGTATCTTAATTCTTATAATATTAATAAATATATTATTGTTTTATAACTTACAGCTAACTATTAAGAACTTAAAAAGGAATTAAATTATTAAAACATCAATGTTCAGCTTATTCACATATAATTACATAAAAAGTTTAATTTGTTCATTGTAGATATATTCTCCGAGGAATAGTTGGGTATGAGTCTACTCGTAACATTATGTCGCGTATGTAAGACGATCGGATAGATGTTGGGAAATACATAATAATTTAATTAAAAAAATTCAAAAAATTTCAAAACTTGACAGAATTCATATAATTCATCAATTATATATGTGAAAATCTAAAATAGTTTTTTTTTTTTATAATTATTAGTATTTTAAACCTTATTTTTTTTTTAATAATTATTTTAAGTTAATTTTAAATAAATATAAGAAATATTTAAAAAACTAAATTTTTTGAGATATGTTTGTTAATGATGAAAGGTTAAAAAAAAAATGTAATAAGAAAAACAATAATAAACAATCTATAATTTAATTTATTACTTGAGTATAGGATAATTTTTAAAGATTTTGTACGATTTAATTCTAAAACGAAGTTAAAAAATAACTAGGAATTCTATCATAAAGTATTACTATAGGTGAAAAGTAATATTAGCTTTTTTGACAAAATTAAGTTTACTTCGGATTTAATTGAAAAAATATAGAAAGAAGACATCAAAAAATGATACTTAAACTAATTCTAATATTAAAACTTTTTGAAAATAGGTGGGGATAATCGGAATTATTTGAAAATGATGAGTTTGTTTCCTTCAAAACTTTTTACATTAAATCTTAATAAAAACATTTTTTAGTCTTTCAGAATGAATTTAAAATTAATATATTATATACACAGTGTGTTATAAAATTATTTAGTGTGTTCAATCACTTTTCTATTTAATATTTTTAAATTCTGAGTAAAAGAGGAATGCATTTGAATTGCAAAAGGATTGTTTTAATTTGTGTATACAATTTTGACCAGAAAGAGTGCTCCGAGATTTAAAAAACTAGTACTCACCAAATTAATCTAAAACACTCTGATCGGATGAGAAGGTATATGTAAAATTGTAATCATACAAGTCTTTTTACTTGATAACAAAGTAATATAATAATATTTAAATTTAATTAATTTAGATATTCCCAAGAATTCCCTAAATTTCTTTCGTGGAGCCCTAGGGCTCCGCGGAACACAGTTTCAGAACCGTTAATTTAATCATCTATAACCAAATTATTTTAAATTTCGATTGTACAGACCGTTAAAGAAACGTTGATGTACGATAATGTGTAAAAAACAAAATCAATCAATTATTGTTCAATCTCTATGAATAATTATTATTACATATTTTTCAAATATTATCATTGAGCCCTATTATAGGCTGGGGCTATAAGCTCATGTGTTTGATACACGTAATATACACGGTTATTGCAGCACTGATTCTGATATATTATAAATATAAATACAATTTATTGTAAGTAATAAATAAATTATTGTTATATTGAACATCCTAATATTTTCAGCATCTTATAACGGGAAATATTCTATGAATCTAAAATATATATATTTTTGTAAATATTAACACTCATATTTAAATATTACATTTTCTTCATATTTCTAAATTTATAACATTAAACCACTAAGGCTTTTTTTAAATTCTCAACATCTGTTGAAGTTATACAGGCGTGATTTAAATATATCAAGTCAAAAATGTTTTCTTGGGAAAAACGCGGGTATTCAAATTCTGAAAACTACATAGCAAATTATAGCAAATTAATTGAAAAATATCTGTAAAGGTTTGGAGTCGCTAGCTTAAAATTGGGGAGCTGTGGTGAAGTTGGTCCCTTGAACAGAAAATGTGAATTTCCAGAAAAACCGCGGGTATTCAAATTCTGAAAACTACATGGCAAATTAATTGCAAAATGTCTATGAAGGTTTTGGAGTTAGAAGGGCCAACTTCACGCACATGGAAGAATGGTCATCCTGTTAACATTTTTTGCATTTCCATCAGAATTAATTGCCTCTCGAAGGTAAATATACTCTTCAGATCGAAGTTTGGTTTAATTTAACCTGATGAATGTTAATCTCTCCGTTTTAATCTTTACTGAGTTCATAAGTCCAATAGCAACACAATTGTAGACACTGTAATCAATTGACATATCGTAACAGAAAACACCTCGATTCAAACTTGCACCATTATTAGTCGAATTTCGCGCTTTACGGGTAAGTCTTAACCGAATTCTTTCACGTTCATTGCGTTCCTGGACAGTACGATTAGATGGATAATTAATTTGATTGGTTGCATTTCGGGTTCTACTACCTAAATTTGTCCGCCGCCTTATGAGAGGCATATTTAGTGAGTCACATACATATACACTTTTTTAAATTTTTGGCTTTTAAATTTAGTAATATTATAGATGCACAGTAAAGAGACGTTTACATTTCAAGTGACATTTGATCACAGACAATTTACATTTTACCATAGATAATTTGTTTTCGAGTTATGTTAAATATGTAATTATATGCTTGCCATATGACATAGATATATAAAATAATTTTATATATATATATAGCATACTCTGCTTAAGATAACCATAATACTACAGGTTAGATAACTCTATAATGGTATAAACCTTGTACAATGTATAGAAAATCTAGGAGGGTTTTAAGTGATGTTTTTTTGAAGGAGAGCTCCACCACAAAGACTCCTTATTTTCGCCTATGCATATATAATATCTGCACTTATAAAGGGCCCCATATCTCAAATAGCTTAGGGCCTTATTAAGTCTAAATCCGGCCCTGGGTGCACGGAATAATCGAATACCGCCGATATAGGTATAGCGCAACGGCCATTGGACGAACGCCGCGAGGTGAAGTCCGTTTTCTGTGATCGCTAACGTCTATGCTTGTGTTATCAAATATATAATGGGTGATATCACTAACAACTCTATCACTAAACATGATTTAGGAACTCGTATAAAATTGAACATAAATTTGTAATGTTTCGATCCACGATAGCATGAAACATTTTAACCTGTCCATATGAAAAAGAATAAGAATAAGGTTTTTAATATCCGTTAATATCTGTGCAAACGAAACCTATATTTAAATATGTAATATTTTACATTTTCTGATTGCTGGCCAAAATGAAATACTTGTTTTTATTATTGATTTACTTTTGTAACTTTAGGGACGTAATAGTTTATTTTCAGAACAACAAAATAGTGTTATTAATTCATCGTTAGTCTATTTTTGACATTCGACGTTTATCTATTTAACATCGTTTTTTTCCTGCTCCTAATAAAATATTATTTATTTATCATTATTGTAATCATTTGTATACAATTTCATCTTCGTTACAAAACGGTGTCGGCGTTGTATCATCGACATCTAACATCTCACAGTATTGGTACGTACCTGTTTGTAAATATAATGTGTAATTGTATATTAATTATTATACGACCTAGGGCCTAGACCTCAATAAAATTAATAAATAAATAACTACATATACACTAGAGTGTTGCATTTATAATTTATAATTTTCAAGTAGATGCCAACACAGACGATAGGAAAGCGCAGTCCTTCGCAGTCCTGCTCCTCGCCGTGCCGACCGATCAAATATAAAGTTTACGTGTATCATTGCAAAGACCTGGAAGTGAAACACTGGAATATGACGATTTTTGCCGGGAACTATCATGATGCAAGTTTGACCCGTGCATCGCCCCAGAAGCGTGGTCGATCGCAGTCGCGTTCTCCGAGCCGTCCTTCCAAATATCCGAGAACAGAATATTTGGCGGTCGGACGACGTTGGTGGTCTTCGATTTATACGTGCATTGAACGTGTAAATCCTTCCGGTGCGTCAAAACGTAGCCGCCATCGTTCGCAATCGTCTCCGCACCGACCGGCCAAGTATTTAATTGTAGAAAAGTCCTGCGTGAACGTCGATCGAGCATCGCGGATTCCGACGCCTAACAACTCCGACGGTGGGAATTCGAAGCGCAGTCGTTCACAGTCTTGTTCCTCGCCATGCCGTCCGTTGAAACATAGAATAGTCGAATGTCACAACGATGGCCGGAAACACCAGAACATTTCGACTGATACCAGAAACATTGTTGACGCAAGATCGACACGTAAATCCACCCAGAAGCGTAGTCGATCGCAGTCGCGTTCTCCAGGCCGGCCTTTCAAACGTTCAAATGGAA